TTCTAAACAAACGATATTATCTACACTAAAATTTTAATTCATTAAACCTTTGTTATTTTATCCATTGTAAAAAACAATTGGTTCACTTGGTTGCTAGGCAGGACATAAGTGGCAAAGCAAATCCTTTTCACAGCTTCAAAGTCAACAGCTTTGTTGTTTTGATTTGAAAGGGGAGGTGTTTCCTCCTTCCAATCCGCCGATAGATGAGATGTCCCTATTGCTCCTTTCTGATTCAACAAGTCTTGCAAGAAACTATATTTTCCAACACAATTTGGAACGTATATTGCTAATTAATAATTCAGCAATCATAAAGGTTTTATTTTTGTCGTACCGCCCTTAGCCCCAGATTGGATTACCCATTTTTGTTTCTTAGCACATATCATCTTTAAATTCGACTAGTATTTCGATTCACGATCCCCTTCTTCACTTATAAATAAGAGATTTTAACTTTAATTCTCGTAAATCGTGAGTTTGAATCAAATTATTATAACTGACCAATTATATGTTTTAATATCACTAATCTTCCACCCCTTAACGTAAATAACCCGACAAAAGCCTTTCTCGTGTTTAAGCCACGTGTTTTGGGTTCACTTGAGATAAAAATATATAAATCTGCCTTGAAAATGTAACTACGTGGTGGGCCCTGACACCCTTAACCTATATTTCTTCAAATAAAAATGAAATGGTGACCCGCAGGAAGCAGTTGAACTAAAACTTTTTGAGAACAACCAGCTGCAACATTGTCAACCACCACCAAACCTCCTCCAGGCCAACGGACTAATCCTGTGCGAGTATCTCATCATTTTAATTAACGTTGTGCGACCAACTATTTGATTCCCAGTAGATCAACCACTTCATGGACACAGACGAATTCAGCTTCCCCACACACAATTTCCCTTTAACTCCTATCGACTCACCCCCGTTGTGGTGCTTATCTCCTGCGGCAGAAGAAGATCGTAATCATGGAGAAGACATCACGGATGCTGTAAATTGTAGTTATCAAAGAAGAAAGAGCGTTTCACATATCGAGCGTGGCGGCCGGAAAATGAGAGAGAAGGAAGAAGAGGAGACTAAGACGATGGACATGCTTTGGGAAGATTTCAACGAAGAACTACCAATGTCAAGAACTGCAGCAAGATCAGACTACTCTGGTAGGTTTTCACAAGAGATATTAAAACAATTGGGCTGCGTTCAATCTTTCAAGTTTTCGAAAACCAACAGTACTACTACGACTGCTGTCGGCGTTGCGGGGATTATGAAGGTCATAAAAAGGTTGTTCTTCCTCCACAACCCTAATCACAAACTCAAGAAACCTGCATGGCCATGATCAAATTGCCTACCTCTCCCCTTTCTTGTGTTCTTGGTTTTTTTTCTTTTTCTTTTTTTTTAATGGGGTTATCATATACTAGTGCTGAGTGTAAATAATTTGATCATATATAGTTTGATTAATAAAAAGAAGGTACAGAGGGCACGTCTCATGACCAAGTCATGTCTATGTATGAATGTATTTCAGTTTCTCTATCCATTTGACTATTTGTTAAAGCATCTTATGATTTCAGTTTTTTTTTTAAATATAATAGAGAGCTCTTTGTTGCACAATAAAGAAAAGTAAGAATAAAATTGACTTCTTGAAGCTAATAAAGAAGCCAAGAAGCCCAATCTTCACAGAGACATTCTCCTCTCTATCAGAATCTCAATGCTCAAATTAACAATGGGTTTTCAGTTCAGAAAAGAGTGTATATTCTAGGGGTGGGCAAACGGATGTAGGAACCGCAGGTCAGGGCGAGTATGGGTCAGTTCCAATTTTTTAAGAGGAAAAACAGGGTGGGGCGATGCCATTTTAGGGTCGGGCCAAGTCCATATATAGAAAAACGAGGCCCCGGACTGGCCCGTTAGTAAATGTAATGGACATACGAGATTTGAAGAGTAATATACATCCAATCTTATCCGTTAGTTTTTACCCTAGGTCTCAATCAAACCCGAGTCTCTCTGGTTCCAGACTCCACTCTTTATTGCATCCCTTCCCTTGCTCCCCCACTCTCCGTCAATCATCTTCTTACCACCAAGGACGGATCCACATAGGGACCAGGGAGGTCCCAGGACCCGTCGACAATTCTAAATCATTGCTATAAATTTTCCGAGGACCCCTCGTACTCAATCATGAGGTCTGTGTAGGTTGCAGTGGCTGTCTTCTTCTTGGAGAAGATGACCGCGCAAGGGGAAGAAAGAAATAGGGACCCTTCCTGCCTCTCTCCTCCTTGCTTCTGCCATGGTCTCATTCATCGGTGCCACCCACTTCTCCTCCAACCTTTCTGTGTTGTCTGGTGAGGGCAGTACATAAGCCCAAACTTTCCCAAATTATTTCAACCATCTTAGTAATTTTTCTTATGGGTGAAGTTTCCTTCATAAGGTTAGTAAGATGGATATGATCTGTCATGGGTTGGTGAAATTTGGTGGTGGAGCTACCATGGCTTCGGGAGAATGGGGAGGGAGGCGGTTAGTGGAGGTATGACAGCTTTGTTCTTAGTGAGAGAGAAGGTGGATGTTTGGAAACTAGTAAAAGAGAAAAATGGTGTGTTTGGTTAGAAAGATAGTGGGAGTTTAGGGAGAGTTTTATTTGACCGGTGTTTTAATTTGCTATCCACACACCCCTTTTTACTTCATACACACCCTCTTAATTTGCGGCCGTCGGATCGACTGAATTAAAAAAGATCAAATGACAGAAATAAATAAAAGGTGTGTGAGACGCAAAAAGGGGTGTGTGAATAGCACACCCCTTTAAATTTAGTGGTTCATATTAGATAATCAATAACTTAGGTACTCCCTAGTAACTTATGAAACCTCGTAATTGACGCTTGAATTATGATTTTATAATTTGTAATATTGTTTTGCATATGATTTTTAAATGAAATATATTATATTTAAATTTTCAATGTTATTTTTGTCTATAAATTTTTTGACCTTTATAATTGGAACCCTCCGAGTTTAAAATCCTGGATCCGCCACTGCTTACCACCCAAAACATAACCACTGTAGCGAGTCTCCTCCCAGTCTCCCTCCCTCCCGAATCCCACAGTACCGACACTCATCTCATCTTTCCCACTCCTCTTTATCTCCCTTGACGATATCACCAAAAGCCCAGAAGACAAATCCATCGTCAACCCATCGCCGCCGCAGCGACGACCACCACCCCATCACTAGCATCGAGATCTCTAGTTTAGGCGTTATCTCCTCCTCGACGGCATAACTCATTCCTCGTTCTCTTCTCCCTCCACCGTCAAATCGATTGCATCGATTGCTTTGAGATCTATACTGAACCGATATGGATGGAGCCTCCTACCATCGTCGATCTAAGTCAGATTGGAGCCTCGCGCCATCGTCGTCGACCAGAGTCGAGAGATAGAGACCTTGATTTGGGATTGGGAGAGATGAGCAAGGGAGACAGGGACAAAGGAGAGAGCTCGATCAGGATATGGATGCGCGTTCTCCCATGGTTGATCCCCTCCTGTGTGCTGAGGAATACGATCTCAACAAGGTCGTCCCTGACCAAAAGAAAAATGTGAAATTGGACCCGTAATAACCTGTTTCAAATGTGTCGGGTTAGGTTAGGTTCTTAACTCATAAATCCCATTACCCGGCTCGACTTGCCTCGTTACTATTTACAATGGGTAGGGTCCAGTTCTTGTAAATTTGTGCCCGGCCCGGTGTGTGCCCACCCCTAGTATATCTTGTGAGAGCAAAGACCATTATACAACCATACAATTCTTGCCAAACCCAATAAGGATTAGCCCCTTTTCTAGTAAGCCGTTCTTATTCAAATTGGACTGCAACAACAAGCTCTAACTTTCCAGTCTCATGCTCACATTCTAACATTCTCCCACGTAAGCATGAGGCCACTTTTTTAAGCATCACCTTTCCAATTATTAAAAAGTGATCACTACGTCTTTTCAAAAATTTATCATCACAACCGATGTTCCATTCATTTCAAAATATAAAAACAAAGAACTTTCGACTACAAACCAAGATGCAATATTAATTCTTCCAAGCGTACATATAGTCAATTTGCATATATAACGTGATTTGTTGGTGGACACAATTCCCCTTGCGAGTGTTTGAAACTCTTGTCAGTTTAAAATGCATCAAACTCTTTAAAATGAGTCATTTGTTGTATCAGGCGTGCCACTGTTGGCTAATACCAACAGAAAAGTTGAATAATGTTGTTTATTGGAATGTAAGTTTGCACGAGAAATAAACTGAGCTTCTAGTCAGGAGAATGTCATGGATGGTGTAAAATCTATCTTTCATTCTTTTCCATGCCTTATTTTGTAAAGGACTTCAAATATTTTTTTATATATGCCAAATGATAACCACAAACTGATTGGACGCTTTATAATTCTCATATACATATAATCATATAAATGCATGCAGGCTATATGGAAATGAAAGGACATGAAAGAAATGATGTTATACATATCAAATTTCCTTCAACAAAGTGATATCTTGAAAGAAATACAAATTTCCTCAACCAAACAGATCTTTGACAAACAGCAGATTAGAGTTGGGTGGTTTTGGAGAGAAAATTGGAAAGGATGATAGGAGGGGAAGCAACCATCTTGTTGAGATCATCACAAAATAAATATTTCGCAAGCACGAAATTACTTTCACAAGCAATTCCATGCCTGCAGCGCTCAAGAGCTTAACCCCGGATTTGGATCCTCCCCTAAGCCCAAGGAGAGGATCCTCCTGACCAAGAAGTGTGGGCCATTGGATTTTCATCTAACGGCTATAACTAACAGAGGATCCCTTTAAAGTTATAATAATTATAACCGTTGGATGAAAATCCAACGGCCCACACTTCTTGGTCAGGAGGATCCTCTCTTTGGGCTCAAGAAAGGATCCAAATCCCTTGACCCCCTCCAACTTTGTAACCTCTTCCACAGTCTCTCTTTAATGAAGCTACTAAAGTAAAATGTGAGGGCAAAATGGCTCAACAAGGTCAATTCAGGGAAATGAATGATCGGTCAAATTGTATTTGCCTAAAAGAATATACATATGCATATAGTACATGCTTTTGAATAAGCAATTACAGAAACAATATAACAGCAAAACATCCATTTGGTGTAAAATACATGAATGGACCTATGATTTGGATACAGTGTCAGTTGCCATAAGCGTATTGCTACTTGCCTCCGAATCCAGATGTGGAGCAACGAATGAAAAAATGGGAGGAATAACAACCAAGAAGCGTTACGTATCTTTTCTAAAGAGCTCGCTCAGCGGTAAAAGCGACCGCAGAAGTGCTAACTTCACCCCCACAAGAACTCTCTGGAAAAAAGAAAAGTTCATCATCGTTATAGTCTTCTCATATTAATAGTGCAAAAATTCCGTGTACCATGTAGTCAGTCGGTGTGCGGCCAAACACCAATCGTATAAAGCAGGTTTCAGAAAAGCCAAGGAAGTTCTACTCCGTTGCTTTTTTCCGAATACTCTGCTTCTGTTATGACCTGTGGCGAAACAACTTAGCTATGGCTCTCCTCTCGCAATCCTGCAACATTGACAGAATCAGATTAAAATGCTTGGCTCTCCTCTCGCAATCCTATTGAGAAAAATGCTTGGCTTTTTATGCACAAGGAGTATTCCTCCTTGCAAGGTTGACTCGTGAACTGGGATTTACCCGCCTAAGCTTGTAAGAAGAATAACTTTTTAGTCCTTATCCATAAGGCATCCAAGTATTGTTATTCTTACTATTCATTTATTCACCCATGTTGGTTGTGTTGAGGAGAGGTAATTCTTACAGTTGTTGAATCGAATCCAAATTATTCGCGCAGTTTACATTCAGTTTGGCTATAACCAATAATCTGCATAAATTTTTACCTTGAACATATTAAGATGGAGAGGTTTTTCCGGATTCATCCTTCTTAACTTCTGGTATGTATATGCAAAACTTAGCTGATCACGAGGGGTAAACCGCTCAACCTCATTGAACCATAGACAGGAAAACAAGTTTGACATCGGAGTGTGTGCCCGGATGATAAAAGACCCTTCTGGTACATCTGCAGATGTGATTAAACAAATTATGTCATGGATTTGTAAAAGAAAATGCATTGCAGTCAAAATATTTTAATGAAAGCACTCTTTTTCTCATTGAACAAATCATACTGCTGGGAAGAAGCCTTTTGGGATCCAAGGCATTAAATTTTGTTAGGCCATCAGCTTGGTAGTAGGCAAATTGTTGATCGATGACGGTATGGTTATACTTATTCAATCTCTTATTCTGTGCAACTTCTTCCCATACACAGTGTCGGTCGTAGTGATTGGAAATTGCATACTCATAACCTTTTCGCCACAAAAAGTATTCCAATATGAGTAAGGGGTCAAGTTGGAGGCGCAATTTACTGTCCAACCAGATTGAATACCTGAAAATTTATGTAAGGGTTTTAGACGAGCCAAGGAAAAGCACCACCCACCAAATAAACAAATCCAACGAGCAAAGCATACAAAAGCACTAGTTTTATTGTAGTAATATGCAGTTGCTTACATTCTTTGTACAGTGGTCCTCAATTGCTAGCTTAATCTCACACCTCCTAATGTTCTTAAAGATGCATATCATTTTTTGGTAAGATTTAATGACTGATACCTGAAATTTGAGTAGTGATTCAAGTTTAATAACTGATTTTCATAACTCTCATGGACACATAGACACACATGCACAATCTAATCTATACAACTAACGTGCATACACACACAAGTTAGCATCGATGTTACAACCTTTAAAGGTAACTGCTAAGTATGATTAACCAACTAGAAGATGACAATCAATCCATATTACTAGTCAAATTCTCACCTCGCAGAAGGAAAAAGCCGATGAGGCAAAAGTTTGGGTATTTTCCCCACTCGCCGCATATCAGTGTACGGTAGGTTCTTCACCACCACAATCCTCCATAAACCAATAAAACCCATCCTATCTGGTGTTTTCCCTTCAGCAATCAGGGTTTGCAAAGTAACTTCATCAATAAACATAACAAAGCACACATTCTTCCTTGACAAACGAGAGACCTGAAATCAAGAGAGTTTCACTTGAGTCGCTGTTCTTGTTTATTCTGTTTTTCTTTTCCCTTTATTGGCTATGGCAGTTATTGCAACTTTATGTCTAAATCAAAGAATTTTCCTTTTTTTGAAACCCAAAAAGGATAAAACAGAACATTAATAAACTAAAAATTGCATTGTGATCGGAAATTTCCAGTGGATAAGTCTAAGTCCATTATAGAAGACCAGAACAAGCATAAGATTCATCTAAACAAATGCATGAATTAACTGGAACATGGAACAAAAGAAAAATCACAATTCTGAAATATTAGGAAATAAAATCCTACCGAGCAAGCTCAATCCCAAAGTTACATTTGAAGCAAGCTCCATCGCAAAGTTACATTTGATATGTTGGTCTACATTGCACATCATTGAATTTTAACTTAAAGAGTGTTGCAAGGTTAAACTGCCTGAATTAGATGATAAAAGAGTCCATGTTCCACTCAAATCAAGGTACAAAGCAGACACTATAGCCCAAACATTCATGATAGGAACTAGACAAGCCTTGGAAATTGGGACTTGACTTTTTTTTCTTATGAGAAATGCACTGGAATTTGCTCTATCATGTGAGAGTTCAACAACCATGTAATAAGAAAAAGGGCCAAAACATTGTTATTTAGAGTATTGGCAGGTGTAAAAGTTATTGTAAAAGTTGTGACATGGTGTAAAAGTCATGAGATGGTATAAAATTTATAACTTATACCGTTAATCCAATGAGTTATAGTTCCATACTTCATTTACATAGTGATTTACATATGAGTTATAGTCCATATTCCAATTAGTTTTCATTCATTCAATCCAGCTTAACATGTCATGGCATAAAACTTCAATTTACGCCTGTGTCAATGTATGTTAAAAGCACAATGGTTGACAAAGACGATATGAAGCTTTAATTTTCATTTTTTTTTCCTTGACAAGAAGATAATACGGAGAATATAAAACAAATGCCATATCCTTAAGAGAACAGTAGAAAATTGTTCCCCCATTAAAGAGAACCCCCTTACCGTTTTACCATAAGGTATCCTCAAGTGATCTGAATTTCCAAAGATACAAGAGATAACAGCGATGTGGCATCTAGTGATGTAATTTGTGTCATCTTCTGCCAAGTCAAATCCAGTGCTTGGGGATCCTTTAGGACCTTTAACAAAGCCACACTTTATGTTTTGATCATGTGCCAAAAAGGAATTTTCCCGTTCTTGCAAAGACTGATGCCCCGCAAATCTCGGCTCCCATTGCTCATCTGCTTCAGGCTTGTCCTCTACTTCAGTATACTGCAAGCTGAATCTTGCAAACTTTGAACTTTCTAAAGGCTCTATAAGATGTGCAGTAGAGTTTAAAAACTTCATCTCACAATAGGAACCTGAAGAATTTCAATACAACATGTCAAAAACACAACATCAGCGATAAGGAGCATCCCCTAAAGCAGCTAGATTGAAGGTAACTCCTGTCATGAAGTTGCATTCAACTATATGCATAAAACAATCTTTCAAAAAACCAAGCAAGAAAAAAACAAGTATAATGGCTCTTCCAACCAGTCATGGTCTTATTCACAGCATTTACTCCTCACAACCCCAATTTCTAGATCTAATAATCTATAGAAATATCTCACTTTAAATAAAACACCTGAAATTTGTTACTCCAAGAGGATGCTCAAGAAAATATCATGATTTCACAGAACCAGTTCTTATACATAAAGAGCAGCATCAAACAATCATTACCAAGCTCAAGTTCTTCCCAGTGCCTCCTAGTGCATGTAGGACTGGCAATAGGTATAAGTTTGAGGCCAAAAATATGTTTGATACAGAACAGTAAAAATTCATTAACAAAACCAAGATAGGTTCCTTTGAGGTTAATGAAGTTTAAGGACTCAGCACTACATGATTTTATAGGACTACTGACAACTTGAGAACACTGTAGCAATCACCATGTCGAAGTTATGTGCTCGCAGCTTCCTTTTCCTTTTTTTGTTTTTCTTTCTAAGTAATGGAAATAAATTAAGGAAATATAGTATGGGAAGCAGATGAAAAGTCACTTCCACAATATACTGAAATTATGCAGTTATCTAGTTGCAAAAAGAATTAACTGTTCTGTTCTGTCTGCACTCTATAGCACTTCTATGATTTGCAAAAGAACTATCTCTTTTGTCTGTACTAAGGAGTCCCTCTCTGAGTTTCATAAAAATTCTAATTTATAACCAATGGCATGCTGAGATCACGGGATCAAATGTGAAAATGAATTAAAGATCCAGAAGCAGAAGCCAAGATATATTTCACTCATGCAAGCTGAGTACAATATCAATAAATGAAAAGATAAATGTAATTCGACATGGTTCTCACACACCAATTTAAAAGAAGAAACAGATAATTTACCAGAAGATTTGCGGCGCTTAGTTTTCCTTTTTGTAGTGGACCGTGACTTTCTTGAAGATTGACCTGAAATTACACTGACATGCCTGGAATTTCTGTTAACTTCATCCAGGTTTCGAGTGTGCTGAGCAGAGTCATTTTCAAATGGACTGGCGAAGACTTTATCAACCTTCTCAGCAACGTTATGATCATGAATTTCGATATCAGGAACATCAAGGGACTCTCTACCATCTTCATCATGTGATTTTTCTTCACCAAAATGGTCATCATTCTGATGTCTTGTATCATCATAAAAATCAATCCCGTCATCATACTCGTCATCAACATGAATTACATCCTTTTGCTTATCCAAATCTTCATCCCTATACTGTTGACTATTCTTTAGAGAGGCCTCATACTCTGCTTCATAAACTTTCAACTCATTGCGCCCAGCTTCGTTGTACAATCCCCCTTTCCTATTGGAACGTTTAGTTAAGTTGTCATTTGAGGACTTCTTTTTGCTGCTTTTAACACTCACAGGAACATCATCCTCATATGTGGATTCATCCCTAACACCTGCACTACTATGCTCCACCTCATCCCCGTTGTAATCTTCATCCCTTCTCCTATCATCTTTATCCCAATACCTAGAATCTCGGCCATGAACTACAGAACCCCTCCCAAACCTAAGGACTTTAGAAGTCTCTGTCCGTGTCACATTTGTAAGAAAGTCAGAATCATTCTTTAAGTCGTCTTCCTCAGCATGAGAACTATTTATTTCTGCACCAACACGAGAAAGCAATCATTTAATGCAAAGCTAGAATCCATATACTTCCATAACCAGATACTGTTGAATTAATTATAGCAAAAATATGAAAGCGTTTTGTAACATTTCTTAAACAACAATGGAGAAGGAAATCAAACAATTAGTCGGGTTGATCCTTTTCCTATACCCATCAATAATCAAGCAAAGACATTAAATACTCCGAATGTTTCGCAATCTCTATGTAACAAACAAGACCCAATGCTTAGCTAAAACCTGCATACTTCCATAATCAGAAACTTCAAATGAACAAAAACACAGATCTTTCATTGCAGAAGCACTTAGTTCTCTCCAAAACCGAAATGTGAAATCAAATACGAAGTATTGTAAAACGTGATCCTTCTTTCTATATTTTCTCAGCAGCCAAACAAGGCAGTCGCCACCAGACATTCAAAGTGCATAAGATTGACAAGTAACTAATTAACTCCCTTTTCCTTTCCTACATTTTCCCGGAAATCAAAAGAAAGTTACTGAAGAAAATTGAGAAGCAAAACATACATACCTCTATTGCTGCGGGAGAGGTAATAGTAGGCGAAGAGAGTAACGAGGACTAGGAAGAGGAGGAGGAGGAGGACGGCGCCAATGGAGATTCTTAGTGGGCCCTTGTCGGATCGACCCGATCGGCGGGTCCGAAGGGGCTTGTGGGGAGCGGAGCGGATCCCTATGGCGAGGTGATCTGGTGGTCCTCCGCCGTTGGAATGGTGGGGATCGTGGCCGCGTAATCCCAACCGCTCCAGCCCTGACTGCCTCTGCTGAGCCATTCTTGCATAGTGAATCTCACTCCTCTCTCGCGCTCGAGTCCTCCCACAAATTACATATGAGTCTACTTTTTCTGTTTTTTTGTTTTTTTTGTTTAAATTTTTCAATGTTTAATCTGTGAATATTAAAAGAAGGAAAAACACATCCGGGAAGAGTGTGAAGGAAGCGAGCGAGCGCGCGAGCGAGAGATGGATCGATGTTTGAGTGATTAAAACACATATTAACTCTCTGTCTTAACTCTGTTTTAAAAACACTTACAGTTCTACGTATATTTTTGAAAATCTAAGCATGTCATAGTAACTAAAAAGCTTGGACATACATATATTGAGCTGTTACTTATGGGGGGCATAGCATACAATAGCTAGTGTAAGCTGGATGTTATAATCATGTTATTACTGAGTAGTCTTAAAGTAATGACAATGTGAGGGTATAAATGTATAATCATGTAATTACTCAATATCTCGAATTATGATAAGTTGAGAGTGTAACTATATAATCATGTCATTACTGAGTAGTCTTAAAAGTAATGACAAGTTGATAGTATAACTGTATAATCATGTCATTACTGAGTAATCTCGAAATAATGACAAGTTGGGTGTGTAACTGTATAACCATGTCATTGTTGAGTAGTCTCTAAGTCATCACAAGCTGAGAGTATAATCATATAACCATATCAATACTAAGTAGTTTCGAAGTAATGACAAGTTGAGAGTATAACTGTATAATCATATTATTACTGAGTAGTCTTAAAGTAATGACAAGTTGATAGTATAACTGTATAATCATGTCATTACTGAGTAATCCCGAAATAATGACAAGTAACAGAACTGTATAACCATGTCATTACTAAGTAGTCTCTAAGTCATCACAAGCTGAGAGTATAACCATATAACCATGTCAATACTAAGTAGTTTCAAAGTTATGACAAGTTGAGAGTATAACTGTATAATCATGTCATTACTGAGTAATCTCGAAGTAATGACAAGTTGAGCTGTATAATCATATCATTACTAAGTAGTCTCGAATTAATGACAAGCTGAGAATATAACTGTATAATCATACCATTATTGAGTAATCTTGAAGTAGTGACAATCTAAATATATATCATACATGTGTAAGCTGAATGTCATGTCCGTAGAATGGGCAAACTGAATATTACAGCCGATGGTTCTCATGCTTGCGTAGCAGAGAGTGCAACACGCTTTAGTCTGGGTGAAGTACATATCTGTCTAAAGCTCCAATCAATCATCCGTCACTTTCTGTTAGTTGCTAGACATGATTTGTTATGCCAAAGGCTGATTATTTGTGTACTGTTTAGACAAAAGGAAGAACTTTTGAGGGTCCTGGGACTGCAAGAGGAACAAGGAAGCTCGCTGCAATTCCTGGGACACGCAGTTGAGTCGGATAATTCTCAGATGTAATCAAGGCATGGGTTGTAAATCATCATTTTATTTCATTTTTGGTTGAATTGATTCACCCACATAGGTAATCTAGTGTGTAGAAAATGTAACTAGTAAGATAAATTCTTTAGCCCAAATATTATTTAGAATTTTGAGGTAATAAAGGTCCTTTATTTTTGTATCCAAGCGGTATAGGGGGAGCACGCCGGTGTAGCTAACTTGGCTCGAAACATAAACGATATGAAGATTTTCCTTTCGTTTATCTCCAATTTGTTTAACAAGACGTTTTACATTCCCTTGAATGACTAGGAAGTGCCAACCAAAATCATGCTATGGCAATCGTGTGTATGAATGACTAGTGGTATACATTTTATACAGCCAAAGCTACCAAAACGAGCTCGGGTTTTTAACATCAATTGACTGGGATTACTTGTCATCATAAGCAGAGAAATCGGGTTCAGTAGGCTTCTGCAGCTTCAATAACTGCTCCCTTCCACTGCGGATCCTATGACCACGAAGAGCATTTGCTGCAAACCTGGATGCATAGATGGCAGAACGAAGCATGCTTGTACCAGAACCGCCTTTAAAATCACCACCACCACCACCATCATCATCTCCTTCACTGTAGTCAAAGCCTTCTTCCTCTTCTCTACGCTGTTTTTCCGCCAATTTTCTCCTGTAGTGGCGCCATGCGGCTTGGATAAAGCACGCTGCCCAAGTCCTCCACTGCTGGGAGTAGAAACGGAAGGTGTACTGAACCTGTCTGCTGTGCAGGTGCCGAAACTGACTGGCAACAAATTTCAACTCCTCTGCTTCTAAAGCAAAAGCCTCAACCTCAGTTAAAGCCTTCACAGTTCGAGTTGATGATGGCAAGTTAGAACCAGCTTTAGGATCCAGTGCCCATGTTAGGAGCTCTTCTCCGCAAAAGTCCCCTTCTTTCAGTACACCGCTGTTGAAAAATCCACTTCTACCGCCATCTGTAGTTACACTTTCTAGGCGACCACGTATGATGAACAGCATCTCAATAACCGGATCCCCTTCCCGGACAATGTAGGTATTATCCGTGCATAAACTTGGTTTCAGACGCTCACAAATGGCGTCAAGTAACCGCTCATCCATATTGGCGAAAAGAGGCACCTGCATAAATCACTCATGACCATGTGAAATTAACCGTCTTCAAAATACATAGCGCAAATATAAGAAGACGATAACATATGCCTTGTAAACATACATCTGCAATAACATAGCGGCATTCGCGATTAAGAACGAACAATAACAAAGGTGAAAGTGGATGCTTACCCTTCTAACCAAATTCAAGCAGAGATGACGTTTAATGTCCCTTCTTAGATCTTTTGGAAGACTCTGGACAATGTTCTCCTCGTCCACACCCCGAGTCTCCAACCACTTGTATTGATCATAGCGCCGCACCCTTTCCCTAAGTTCTTGCGGAAGCCAGCGGTGGTGCATCCACTGCTCAGAGTCGCGCTTTTTAATCCTCATCTCCTCAAGGCGTATTGTTAGGGACTGAAGGTACGTCTGTTGATATTTCATTAAACATCAAATTAGCCACAGTTCAAAGAACATAAAGCCACTAACTAACTAATTGCAGTTTGCTAACTCTCAACGTATCAGTTATTTGTGCCTTAAAAATTCGGAACACGTACATATATCCATAAAGCATTCACAGGATTCATTTGCATCTCACCTGGATATTTCCAATCAGAAGGGCAAAGAGGATGAGGCCGAAAATGCCTATCCCGATGGAGAATAGAACCTCTAGAGGGTAGGTGCTAGTTTCGAGCCCCTGGCCGAGTGTACTGCAGAAAGTCAAAGAACAATGTACTGAAAATTAGTAAGACTTTCAGAACCCAAATCAGAACATTAGCGTACTTAATACAGAAGTTTCACCGAATTTTGAACAAGACGATCATTGATGAGCGAGTTACACTTACACACCTTAAATTTTTCAGTCCCCACCACAAGCAGAACAATAATTTGGACATAAATTCGGCTGATGCAATGACATCTGAAGATATAGCCTCTGCGAAGATTCCAAAATTAAATGGCGGATTTTCCCCTTCAGCGGTGCAGCTTTTCTTTAGAAGATCCACTCTGATTTTTTGCCATTCTTTGAATCCAGGGGCATTCGCATCGATGCCACAGTACAGGTATTCTATCCTACATTTTCCACTATTTCTACAAGCTCCCCGCCAGCATCCATCATAGCGCTCCACAGCTAATAAGTACCACGCAGCCCCGGTGACCTGTAAATTTATCCAAGAGTGACCAAATCAATTCAATAGAAAGGTAATACTTCCTACAAGGTGCTTCAGCTAAAGGTAGTATTCAGAAACTATGGAGAAGGCAGGAGAAGATAAAAACTTTTACTTGAGCGGCAAGCATAAACCAAAGCAAATAGTAGGCAGCCCCGGCCCAAGCACTTTCGGCAAAAGCACCTGCACTCCTTTTCAGGTCTGAGTTCAAAGCTAATAAGCGGACAAATCTCGGTAGTAACTGGAGCCAGACAATAAACAGCAATGCCTGTTTCGTAGCCAAAACCTCTGACTCTCTTCCATGCAAGAATCTCCAAACCACAATCTGTAGTCATGAGCAAACAAGATAAATCCAAAAACCATCGTTTCTATATTCCAAATTTGATTGCTATGAATATTAGCGTAAAAAATTTATCGCCTTGTAGCGGTGTCAATGGTAGAAATTGAGCATGTTGCATGCAGACCTGGGGTAAGGGGAGCACAGAAGCCAAGTCAACTAAGAAATAACGGTGTAGATAACGCTTTGCTATCTGCGGAGGATCTATCACAAGTTCACCTCTTCCGAAAACCCGAGATGATGGAGCAATATAAGCTGTACGAAACTGTAAAGCCATGCGAATAAGGTAGAAAGCATCTACTAATGACCGTATAGTTATAGTTGTCGTTCCTAATCTTCGATCGATAGAGAGGCAATCCTCATCATTGTCGAAGATTGGAAGATAGAAGAACAAAGGGTCAATGGATATTGCAAAGATGCAAGTTATGACGAAAAGCCTGTTCCATAACAGGAGGGATTTGTCTTGGGGGTCAAATATCTTTTTATCAGACACTTTAAGATCTTCTGGGAACACTGCACGGGTGACGCCAGTTCTTAATGATCTACCAAATGTCTTTAGTCCATCTGTTCCCTGTTGAATTCCATACCTGAATGATTGTGATGGTGCTCTCTTTGGTTTTCCGCCAGTAAAAGGGAATGACTCTATACTAAATCCACATTTATTCATTTTACCGGTATCAGAACTCATGGAATACGTAGAACCCAAGTCATCCAACCTACAAGTAGCATATGCCAAGTCATACTAGAGAATAAGAATTCATAACCATAAAATTCTGCGGAAAACTGCATAACTATGCTTTTGCATCGTCAAAGTTCTACCGGCAACTCAATTTGACTCGTCAAAGAAGACATGGACTACAAGTTCAAATCTTCAAAGAACATGAATTAGAATTCATTTGGCTTATTGAAAAGTACACATGCTAAGAGAAATCCAGCACAAAAGAATGAGAAATACATTCTGAGGCTTTCGGTTACAAACCACTGGAAAGACGCAGATAAGATCCATATGTCAACGACAGTTATAGCCTCCGGAAGAAAGAAAAGGAAAACAGAAGGCAGAAGGCAAAGAATAATGTACAATGCATACCGTACAAATTTCTCCTTTTGGCCACCAATATACTGTGATTTGCGAGTGCAATCGAACATTTTGTATCAGCCGTTACATAGATGCAAGACGAGAATGTGAGAATTCACAGCATGCCCCAAATCAAGTCACTGGGTGGCAAAGAAATGCAGAAAATTCAATCAGTACAACAATATACTCCATAAAAACAATCAGGTACGACGCTGTCATGGTATACATTGGAGAAAAAACATTAAAAACTGCACTCAAGATTCGGAGTTTTGAGCATAGAGATGATCATTGTTCATCAAAACAGAGAAAAAACAATCGAAAGAATACGATGCTGTTACTCATCTATGATCTTAACATAACATCATGGTAGTCATTTACATGTTTAATTCAATTATTGGTTCTTATACTTTCTTTTAGGGAGGATAGTTTGATCTCGTGACGCAATGGGTTGAACATGAGAATCCTAACGACCAGAGCAATCCACCGCTTGCAAGAAAATAACAAATTGTATCTCCTAATTATCTATTACGAGCTCAATGTAACGTACCCCATTTATGATCCGAGTATTTGGCATTGTTAAGGATTGCATGGTGATCTATATCATCTAAACATATATTAATTAAAAAGGTAAAAATATTCACCCCTAACAGAAAAAAAATTCAACTTTCTTCCCTATAATTTAACGTTTGAAATCAGAATTAAGAAGGAAAGAAGAAGCATGTGTAACAAAAGGATGAACTTACATGGATCATGTCCAGCTATTGATTCTGTAATCTCTAAATCTCCAATATTATTATTAATAAATAATAATAATAATGAATGTTTTGGAAGATGTTGGAAACATTAGGGTTTGAGGAGGAGAAAGAAGGTGGGTGATTTAGAGAGAGAAAGACGGATGATATGATAGGGAAGGCTGGTATTGAGGAGGGTGGGGGAGAGCTAGGCCGTTAGAACGGTTATGTAAACAAGTTACAATCTAAAACATGGAGCATGGTTACCATTTGGTTTTTAATTTTTACTTTCTATCAAAACTAAAAATAGCCAATTTAAGTTTTCAATCTTTTCTTAAAATAATCTTCAATTTTGATTTAAAATAGACCTTGTGTTTCCCCACATTTTGTGAAGAACATATCTTCATCGTATGAACTTCAGATTTGAAATTGTTCAATTTCTCAATCTTTATTTGAAGACCATCTCTATGACAATTAATCAAATCGGAGATCGTTTAGTAATCAAGTGTATCTACTTAATGGACGATTCATCATGAACATGTTATTTGGTGCTCACATTATTGATTTGTTTCATACATATGGAGGACTAGACGATCTTTTATATGAATGACTTTTGTAAAGATGATCTTCAAATGAACATTAAGAAGTTCAACGGTTTTGATTATGAAATTTATACAACGAATACACGTTATTCGCAAAAGGTGAGATATTTGCATTCTCACATGGGGGAATGCAAGACCTCGAGAGTTGGAGAAATTTTTTTGAGAGAGTACCCCATGTGTGAAACGTAAGTGGAGAGACACGAAAAAAATAGATCAATTTCTCCACTTGTATTATGACATGTGAAGTATTGCTTGAGTACCCAATACTTGGAAAAGTCTCTCCCAAAGTTGGACACCACTACCAGCTATTGGTGATCCGGTCCGAGCTTGGGGACCCTAGGACCGGCCTCAAAACCCACTTGAAGAGACCCGGTCAATTAGATACTCAACTATCTCAAACGCATAACCCAGATGCGTATCAGTATAACTCATCATGGACCAATCTATAATCAATAATGTTCGATTTCGCCTTTCAGAAACATCATTCAATTGTGGCTTGCAGCAGGTTTCCATTGCAACAATATCCCAGTCTTTCAAGCAAGTTGTGAGCACTTAAGTATTCACCTCCACGATCTGATTTGAGAGTCTCTCTACTTTTTTCAGTATGCAGTTTCACCTGGGTTTTAAGTTCTTTAAACTTTTCAAAGGCTTCAAATTTGTGTTTCATAAGATACACATATTCATACCTTGACATGTTGTCAGTACAGGTGATGAAGTAGCTATAGCCACCTCTTGCAACAATGCTCATCGGACCAAACACGTCGCTATGTATTAACTCGCAAATCTCATTAGCTCTTTGGTTAACTCCATCAAAAGGAGCTTGAGCCTTCTTATTGATGAGATGGCCTTATGCCCTCAAGTTTGAGACTGCTTTGGTTTTTTTTTTTTTTTTAACTGCTGCTATGTTTTAAGAATAATCAGTTGCAAAGTAAAGTGGATGAACATTTAATAAACTGTATTCTTGAAAGTGGTGTGAGTATGAAAAAAAATATAAAATAGTTTAGTAAACATTAATGTAAGTGATATAATTGTGAATTCTCCAACTAAAGTATGACTTAATTTATGAAAATTTTTTGTTCGTCTGATTTCAATTTTTTTTAGAATGTAGAAGATGAGTATTTGTGTTTCAAACTTTTCTGCTTCGTCAATCCGAGCTAGTTTGTCCTCCAATACAAACAAAACCCTTTCACTTCAACTTTATTTTACATTTGTTGCCGTTCTGATTGACATTTGTTCTCAACTTCATTTTACATTTGTTGCCGTTCTGATTGACATTTGTTCTCCTTCTAATTAATTGTTTGGGGTAGTGTATGTTAGTGAGTGCCCGTTAGATAAATTTCTTTCATCAAATAAAATTAAATAATTGCAGCAAAAAACACAAATACAAACACCAAAGCACAAATAAACCAAAAACAGCAGCCATGGAAAATGTTATAATGTTGTACGCAGCTCCAGTAGAAATTTTGAAACTTTACCAAAAAAATCAAATAAGATATAGTGAAGCAAAAAAATGCATACAAAAATTTGAAAAACAAAAAGCTCTGTTTCTAAAGAGCTCAAGGTGGGAGAGGAGACAAAGGACTCAAATGATTTTTGCCTTTCAAGTTTTTTTGAGATTTTATTATATAACGAGTGCAAAGATAAATATACATTTTCATTGAGTTTGGGAGGGTACTTTAGGTACTAAATTTGGATTTAAAGAGGTACTAATTCTTTAATTAAAAATAATATGGGTTTAGAGAGTAAGTTTGGTGTATAAAGAGGTTAGATGAGTTCAAATAAAATTTTCCTTAATGAAACTTTCATATTGACAATCCTACCTCCATCGCTGCTGCTTTTTTTTTTTTTTTTTTTTTTTTTTTTGCTAAAATCACTTTTAGCACTATAGTTTACCAAACACTTGCTTCTTTTTTTCACAATTATTTATTCTCATAGCATAACAGAAGTAGTTTTGGGGAAAAAAAAATTGTGACATTCACACATCCCATTTTACTTTTCACACACCCTTTTAATTTTCGGTCGTCAGATCGGATGAATCAAAAAAAATCAACGAATATAAATTAACAAGGAATGTGTAAAAAGTAAAATAGCACATCAAAAAAAAAAAAAAAAAAAAAAAAAAAGCATGACTGATCCCAGACTAACCCTTAATCACTCTAATTAAAATTAAATTGCTAGTGGCATTTATGTAATTGTATTGGAAAACGAAAGGAAACCAAAGCCAAGGCCAAGGACTGGCAGCGGAGTTGACCACCTGAACCTGATCGCTCCCCCAAAATTTGTGGCGCGCGTAGTTGGAGTGGAACCCACCGTCTCTCCCGGCAGAACGCCCTTTCTAATCTCTCTATCTCTCCGTGCAATCTCCCTTGGAAGGAACTGGTGTGGTGGCCAAGTCGACACCGACTAATAAATCGCCGGTATTTTTCATTTCCATTTTCACCTTAATTTCTGTCTTTTCGTGCTTGTCAGTCATTGTAGAACAATCAGATGACGATTTCAGGCAGCTAGGGAAAGACGTTTCTTGTTATACATATATACATATATATATATATATATATATATATCTACTGATGTGGTGCTGGAGTGAAATCTTTTAAGAAAATAGATGCTTAGTTGATTGAGGAAGCACCTCCTTTGTTCTTTTTTGGTTTGTTCATCTTCTTCTGAATAAATATAGCATGCTCGACTCGAGTTGTTGAAAAGAATATTAATCTAGTACTACTGTCAATGTAAGGGGAAATTGTTGACTGCTTTTATCATTTGATTGTAACTTTGGCAGCTTAATATCATTGCACGGATTGGGAAAGGTTAGATTAATTTCGTCTTTTGACGGGTGAGAAATTGTTAGATGCATGCTCTGCTCTCTGCTCATTTGATAACCATTTCGTTTTTAGATTTTAGTTTTCACTTTTGGTTGGAAGGAAATACAAGGAACAAAGGAGGCATGAATATAGAGGAAGGGTGGTGGGAGGAATGTGGAATAAATGCACATAGAAATGATACACAACACATAAACCAAAAACCGAAAAACTGAAAACAATTTTCAAATCGTTTTTTTTTTCTTTCAAGTTTTTTGTTTTCATTTTGTATGTCATTCCATACAGCCGACTCCACTTGTTTTCATTTTGTATGTCAAGACTTTAAGAAAAGATAGAGTATTTGGAGCTAACGGAAGACTTAGCGCAAAACCGAGCGCAATGACGTTCTAGGATTCATACAGTTGATCCCACTTAGTGGGATAAGGCTTTGTTGTTGTTTTTTGTTGTATGTCATTCCATGTGCATTTCTCCATTCTCCCTCCTACCACACTCTCTCCACATTCTTGATCCACCATCCACTGTCTCTCTATATCTAGTAATAAGAAATGGAAAACAAAAACTAAAAACAAAACGGTTATCAAATGGGCCTGAATGATACAGTTTATAATGTTGGTTCACTACGCTAAATTTCATGATTACAACAACAAAATACTCTCATGTCTCTGTTCCCTTTTTGGTTCCACGTTTATCATTAACCATGAGTCAGCCGTTTTATTTTTCTAACCCTGTTGACTTTTTATTTGACTATTGTTCTAATTTTTTTACAGTGCCGGGATGCTAGGAAAATCATTAGCTTCCCCATTGCTAACCCATGATTGTGCAACACGCTTTTGCTTTTCTACTGTGAGTACCATTTTCTGGAAACTTTTAAAATGCTAGATCGTATGACTCTATTTGTATAACCCCATTGATTATTGATGCTATATGTTGACCTCAGTATAAAAACTTGAATGCTTTTAAAGTGGTGAGTTTGATACACTTGTCATAGCTAGTTTTTGGGTCCCTTCTTCCTTACTTCCAAGTGGGTTGCAATCGCAGTTTCCCTAGAGACTTGAAAGGTTTTGAATTGTGAGTTTCAAACACTTGTCGTCACAGCTAGTTTTCGTTCCCTCTTTGGTTTGAATGTTAGATTGGCATAGCTAGTTTTTGGGTTCCTTCTTCCTTTCAAGTTGGTTGTAATCTCAATTTCCGTAGAAACTTGAATCTTTTGAAGTTGGTTAGTTATCTACTCTATGCTCTTCGGTTAAAAAAATTTCATGATATATTCGTTGAGGTTAGAAGATAGGTACTGAAAATTTTAATCCTCTAGCAGTTTTTCTCATTCTATTGTCAAACTCGGTGTATTGATTTAGATTCTTGCCCTTGGAAGAGTAACTACCCTTGACGCTATTCAAAGGAAAATTGTAATTTTAGCTTATCATCTCCTTGGTATACCATGTCTCCAGAGGCAGCTGGTCATCCTTTCCTTCACTGTCTTATTGCTTTCAGATTGTGGAATTTGTTTTCTGAAGCACGGTTGAATTTGGTGATATCATCTTCCCATGAATTTTTATTTACTAAGGGACATTATGCTTTCTTTAGAATGATAAAGGCCTTTTTTTCTTTTGTTGGAATTTCAGTGTGTTTTGTAGTTTTCCTAGGGCGGAAAAGACTGAATTTTTTAGGGAAAAGGTGTAGGAAGTAGATTTCTTGGGGTAGGAAGTTAGATTTTTGGCAGTTGTCGGCTTCAGTTTGTTGCGAATTTAAGCACTTCCTCTCTTAATTGCCATCCTAGTGCTTTTGGTCCATTCAAAAGTATGTGTCTGTTTTTTCGGCTGAGTGGTATAATGTAAATTCCATGATGTTCGCTTTTCCAAAATTTTCACTAGAATGTAAGTTGACTTGATGTTAAACTGGCCAGTAAGAGCATTCTGTGTAGAAAGTAGAGACAAAATAATAAAAAGAACTCAAAAGAATAAGTGCAAACAAAATCAATTATAATGACGACACAACCTCAAAAAGCATGATATGTATTGAGAGACATGAGACAAAAATTATGGCTGAACAAGTATCGACTGTAGATTTGTTCTTTACCTGTTTGGTGATGGATATATCTTCGTATTGTAACTTTTTCTATGCTTTGCCTTTTCCATTATTATTTATTCTGTTTGATGTTCAATTTTTATACTTATGGTCTGCAAGGGAGCGTTGCTTCCAATTTTAGGGGTGAACGGTTGAAATTTTTTCCGTTTTCCCTTTCAAGTTTGCAGTATGACATAATATTATGATAACTCTTGCTGCAGCCTGATGTTGTAAATACAGCACCGAATATCAGATTGCGCAATTTCTCACAAAATCCAAACAGAGGAGCTTGCTCACCAGGTTTGTCTACCAAGAAATGGGTATTACACTCAACTGCAGAGATTGAAAATACAACTTTGAAAGATGAAGACAGGAAGGCATGGGAAACATGCCGGGAAGCTCTATCTGCATTTAGTATCAGCAATGAAGAGGGAGAGAAGATACTTGGAAAAGCATTTGGCCTGGTTCATTCACCTTACTGGGGTGAAAAACGGAAAACGGAAGTACCAAAATTTGAGATTGTAAGCGAAACACTGGACTATCTTCGGAGTTTAAACCTTTCTGACGATGACCTGTGTAAGTTGCTAAAAAAGTTTCCAGAGGTTCTTGGATGTGATCTTGAACAGGAGGTGAAAATCAATGTGCAGATCTTGGAAAAGGAGTGGGGAATAAAAGGGAAATCTCTCCGAAACCTCCTTCTTCGAAATCCAAGAGTATTGGGTTTCAATGTTGATTGCAAGGGAGATTGTATGGCACAGTGCACGCGATGCTGGGTTCGGTTTTAGAATTGCTTTTGAAGGAGTTTAATTTTCGCGTAGCCAATTGAATTTGTAAATCTATTGCAAAGAAACGTCACAATCTGTATGAGGTAAACGTTTCTGTATAATTCAGTTGGGGGGGAAATGTTATCCGACTCCTGGGGTGATTCATTTTTCAAAGCATAAATCACAATTTGACACGTGTGTGTGGAGCCAAAAATAATCAAGAAAATTATGAAGGTGATACGTGAACTTTTGGGTAAAAAGATAAAATTACCCTTAAGGCACACCGGGATTCTCACGTGCATGCAACAGACAATAATGGCTCAATCGATGTCAAAGGTGATTAAAATGGTATTTATTCAAAACCCTCTGATCACGTCTCATCAAATCTTCATCCAAAGGTAACTTTTAATTATTCTTTTCAAATTGGGATTAATTACCAAATTAATTGCAAGATATTATTTGACATAATATTTTGCAATTAGAGCAAGAATTGGTCCCTATTTCTCCAAATAGGGCCGGCCACACCCCTATATATAGCCTCACATTTCTTCAAAAACCTAAGTTCATTATTCTCCTAAAATTCTCTAAACACTTTCTCTCTCAAATTCTAACTTTGGCATTGAAGACTCTTCGGCCAAAACCCTCCCCATTCATCGTGGACCCGTGAGACTCTTGGCATTGATCTTAAGTGTTAATTGTTTTGCAGGTGCATTTTCATCTAAGAATAATAAGGCAGAAATTTGCATCCACAAATTGGTGCTTTCATTGAGAGTCTTGATTCACACGCTTGAAGAACTCTCGCATTCAAAGTTTCTCATTTCTTGTTCATTTGTAGATTTTCGTACATTCTTATTCTTATATTTTTTTTTTATATATATAAATTCTTTGATAAAACATAAAAGAAAAGTACAATGGCTGGAAATTCGGAAACCACAACGAACAGAACTTCCTACGTTCAAGGATTTGGACCATGACGATCCACGAGGCTCAACACGACGATGAGTGGAGTGGCACCACCCCCACGAGGCACCACCGTGGCAGCCACCGTGGTAGCAACCACGACAGCGACCCTCGGCGAGCCCACTATCCACTATGAGCAGGCCACCTCGCAACAACCGGCCCAAGGCCAGCGTGAGCCCAGTGTGCTCCAAAGCTGAGCCCAAGACCAGCAGGCCTAAGGCACGTCATTCCAGCCTACACAAGACTAAGCCTAAGGTGAGCAGGCCCTAGTTGTGACCCAACGCGAGCCCAGCGCGATCCCGAGCCGAGCCCAGGCCCAGCACCCACATGCGCTGTATGCGGAGCAGCCCACTCCCATGGCCTTCCAAGCAGCCCAAACTGGTCCAAGACTGGTTCAACCATCCTTGCTTTAGATTTTTGGGCCGACAATTGAACAGGGGGTATTTTCACCCTATTTCTTTGCAAATTTAACATATCCCAACTCAAATCTCGCGCCCAGAGTCCATTACAGTTCCATTACTCAAAGAGATGCATACCTTCCAAGCTCTTCCAACCCAAATGGTGAATAAGCGCCCCCACACAACAGACGACCTTGGTGAATCAGCTCTTGTAGCGCACCGAGATGCAACGTGCCCCAGACAAGGTGTCCCGAAGTAGGACAAGGGCAAACGAAGAACCTCTCCAGCAGCGTCCCAACAAGCAGCCACTCAACTAGTCATGAACCGAGTGTTTTGGTAGTGTACACTTCCGACTGGGCCCCCGAGATAGCGTATACTCTCGTCTTAGTGCGCGGATGAGCGTGCACTCTCAGTTAGGCCCACAAATGAGCATACATTCACTTTTGGGGCCACACTTCGATAATCAACATGAGCAACCTTCCAGGCGAAGTGTTTATTCACGGCTAGGCCCACAAAGAGCATCCTCCACCTCACATCGGAGTAAGTAGTATGTGGATGGAAAGAAGCAGTCACTCGATCCGACTCAAGTTCAACTGCTAACCTACGTGAAATTCGTTCGCCTACTATGAACGTACCACATGTATAGCAGTTACGGCATAGACCAGTCGGACACATAGAAGGGCAGCCTAGACCAATAGGTCACGACTGGGGGCAGCCGAGAGCTTCGCTACCCCAACAAAGATAAATTCAGGAAGAAGTAAAGAGGCTCCTGACTGAGCGATTGCACGATTTCCAACGCAACGAAGTCACTGATGAGGCACTATGATGAGACATGACCAACATAAGTAGGTCACCCTTCACAGACGAGATCGAGCAGGCAAAGCCTCCATGCAAATTTAGCATGCCACATTTCACATCCTTCAAATGAGATGGAAACCCGGAGGGGCACCTAAAGCACTACTAAAGCGCAATGATCCTCTATTGGAACAGTGACGCTCTCATGTGCAAAATATTCTCCACCACTTTACAAGACGAAGTGCAAGATTGGTTCCACACCCTGCTCCCACAATCCATCCGAAGTTTCCATGAACTTTCTTTGGTTTTCACCAAAGAATATTCATCCTATAACTCCATCAAGAAGAAGTCCGACCATTTGTTCAACTTCAAGAAGAACCCAAAGAAGTCGCTTCACGACTATGTGAAGAGGTTCAAAGTAAAGAAGGCAAAGATAGTCGGATGCAACAACTCGATATCTAGAGCATCCTTCCAAAAAGGACTGTAGTATTCGAGTGAGTTTTGCGCAATTGTCGTACTAAAACTAGCATAATGTGAGATACAAAACCAGATTACATTTTGAGTTGGTTTACTATGAGTTTGCATACTTCGTTGTTGCTATATGCTCTTTTTGTGTGTATTAAGCTGCATCTCTTGTGGAACAGGTGTGGAGCTAAACAATCTGGGAATCTTGGTAGATCTCTCGCGGCAGTTGATGGGATAGTTGGTTTTGGACATGCCAATTCATCTGTGATCTAGCAGTTATCTTCTTCCGGAAAGGTGAAAAAGGAATTCGTGCATTGCTTGTATAACGTGAAAGGTGGTGGAATCTGGGCCATTAGGGAAGTGGTGGAACCAAAAGTGAAAAACACAACTCCGGTAATACCAAATTCGTATGTCACACAATCTCAGAATCCTTGGTAACACTTTTAACTCAATTGAAAAATACGCTGTAATCGCCATCTGCTATTAATATTTGAGCCTCATTGACGAGTCAATAGGGTAATTCTAGCACATTTTGTTGAGAGCTGTACAGAGGCAACCATGGCCAAATACTCAGATACTGCAAAAACCAAAAACACAACATTAATATTTAAAAGCAAATAATCACATATGAAAATTACAAATAATCTCCCTCATCACAAAGAAACCCTAAAAACAAAAACCAAAAGCATCATACCGATATCTGGATCTCATCACAAAAAAATATATACAGTAAAAAATGGCAAATCATCTTACATCTCGAGTCAGCGCCCCCGACTAGCGCATCGTTCAAAACGATTAATGCATTTGTGGTTCCGAATCCTTTTTTAGTTTAGGTTTGATCTCTCCAAACAGGGAGGAACCGATTATTAGATGCTGCTTCACATGCCTAACCCTCCAACAGATTAGAAAATCAGCTAGAGTTGTATACCACCAAGTTAACAATGCAACTTCAAAACACTAACAATGCAAAATTTGACAAATTGGAAACAAAACATCCATAAACACTAACAATGCACTATTATTGTATTTAAATCTTTTCAATTCAAAATTACAAGAATATCCAGCTAAAAAAAGGATTAAAAGTAGCAAACAGAAAGAATCTGGAAATTATGAGGTCACGATCGAGTTGACCAACCCGAAAAGTTACCGAGCCGTTTGGAAACTGAGGCGGCGACGGTGAGGAGTGACTCTGTCGGAGTTGTCGTCGGGAAACGGACGTCCATTTGGGAATGCTAAGACGCTGCGGCGTTAACCTCAGTTCTTCTTTCACTAAAGATTCAGCCTTTGTACCCAAATGTCATGCAGATTACTTCCTCTGCGCACTTCACATGCCATTACTTAATTGCAAGATGCATCCGGACCCTTGGTTTTATACACGGGGAAATCCAACCGATGAGATTTTACCCAACCAACATCCTGCCAATCAGAAACCAGTGTTGTTTCCGTACAGGTCCTTCCCCCCGCCTTTGGTCAAATTTGGTCAAAATTGGTCTTAAGACATAAAGACAGATAAAGCCTGATTTATTATTATTATTTTAATAATGAAACAAACACCCCCCGGGGGGGCGGGGGTGTGAAATAAATGCCACATTTTCATTTTTTATTTTGAAACTACAAAGATAAATCAAATCATTATGCATTTTTGTTCAGGTCAGCTCTACTTATACGGTCACTTAGTATGCTTTGTTTTTAAGTAACGAGATCTTATGTTCGATTATCTAACAAGAATAACGGCGAATGAGTTATTTCATTTTCTTGATGCAAAAGTAAGATGATTTGCTATTTTTTATTGTATATTTTTTTTTCCTACTGTATATTGTATCCCGAACCAGAAATGCATTAATTCTACTATTTTATCTGTGCAGTTCAACTTTAGGTTCATAAACTTGTAGAAATACCTGAAGTTGAAGTTGGAGAAATTTCCACTACACCTCTAGGAAGGACAACATTAGGGGTGGGCACAGGCCGGGCCCAATTTTGAAGGAACCAGACTAGACCTGTTCTAAAATGTAACGGGGCAGGGGTGGGCCGGGTATAAGAATTATGAATTTAGGATCCGTTTTAAAATGTAACGGTTCGGAACGGTTCAAAGTGTCCAATCACTATGTTTCTTTTTTGTTATAACAAATTACTGGAAACCAAATTTGAAACTCAAAACACCAGATTAAGGGGGTGGCAAATTCAAAACTCATAGTCACACACCAAAAATCTTAACCAATATCCCATCTCTACAGCATATAATAATAGGAACCAAGAACTATTAATTTAATCACAATCAGTACTAGTTTTAGGGTTAAAAACTTTGAAGTTAAAAACCACAACGAAATTACTTTAATCACAAGCAATTTGAAAATACAACCACAAAGAAATTTTTGAGTTAAAAACTTCAAATTTCACCATGTTTGCAAATTTACACAAACATAAATTCTGGATTCAAACACCCAATTCAAACATTTAAGAAATGCCCAATAAGATCAGAGATTGCAAAAACCCTAAATTCCTAAATCTAAAAAATTAAAATGAGAGAATTAGGAATTGCAGATAACCCTATGTCCCTAAAACCAGAAAATTAACCATAGTTAACAATTAAGAGTTCAGAAATTATATTACCTTAAATTGGGAGGAGATGAGATGGTGTTTGCCGATTTTGATCGCAGGATGATGGTGTTGTTCTTGACGACGGTGATGGGTGGTCGATATTGGGAGAGACGATGGTGATGACTACAAATGTACTTTGAAAACCTTCCTCGCAATATCCATTGGTTGCTGTTGCTACCGTGTATGTAGTAACATCTAACGTAAGTAAATTGTATTATTATAAAATTTTAGAATATGGCACATTAATTCTTTCAGAGAATGACTAATGATTTTCTTTAATGATATATTTTTAATAGACACTAGAAGCATATTTTGTCTACGTACAAATGCAACATAATTCCGAATGTAAATTACTCAGTTGAAATAATTGTCCGTGTTGTCCAACCCGTTTACATGGGTTTACAATACTGAAACCCGAGATATATATGTACATGCTCTAGGAAGTGGATTAAAACAAGCAATTGAGTATTTTGTTAGAGCATTTGGAATAGATCGTAAGAGGAGGATTAGCTCAGACAAAATCATTGGTTATAAAATTGAGGATTTGGAGTTAACGACTAGTGAGGATGAGATAAAAAAACGAGTTTGGTTTAGCTTTGAAGGCCTCTGCTTTATCCGTTAAATTTATTGCAACTCCATTCAGAGGTTAGTCTAGTCATTTTTTATTTTTTATTTTTACTGTACTTTGAATTAATTGAGACATAATTTCTAAGTATATTTGGAAATTTTCTTGTATCTGTTTGCACTATTAAAACGGATGGAAAACACTCAATTAAAGGGTGTAGTTTTATTAGACTCCACTTTCAATTTTACCCCGACCAAGATGACGAACGATCAATTTATCTAGTATATCCAAGAATCCTCGTGCGGAAAGATCACGTCCACCATGTCGTCAAAACATTGTAAGTTAAATTTTTTTTTATTTTTAATGAGGCTTATGTTAGCATATTCTTTTCTTTTTTTTTTTTTGGAATTTTAACGAAAAACTCGCGGTACTGTTCACTTTAACGAAAATTCATATTTTTACATTAAAAAGTCAAACGTGGTACTATTCACTTTACTATTTATTTTGTCCTTATCATTAAAACTCAAAGTTTTCAAAACCTTTTCATTAATCTTTTTTTTTTTTTTTTTTTTCAAACTTTGTGACCTAAACATTGTGTAATTTGTTTGTCGGCATTGCAGGTTTGGAAAAGTATAACTTACAATGTTTTGACAATGTGGTGGCCATGATCTTTCCGCGCGAGGATCTTCGGATATACTAGATAAACTGATCGCTCGTCATATTGGTCGAGGTAAAACTAAAAGTGGAGTCTAATAAAACTACACCCTTCAATTGAATGTTTTTCATCCATTTTAATAGTGCAAACTGATACAAGAAAATTTTCAAATATACTCAGAAATTATGTCTCAATTGATTCAAAGTTAAGTCAAAAAATAAAATAAGAAATAACTAGACTAGCCTCTGAATGGAGTTGCAGTAAACTTATCGGATAAAGCAGAGCCTTCAAAGTCAAACCAAACTCGTGTTTTTACCTCATTCACACTAGTCGTTAACTCCAAATCCTCAATTTTATAACCAATGATATCGTATGAGATAATCCTCTTACTATCTATTCCAATGCTCTAACAAAATACTCAATTACCTGTTTCGATCCACTTCCTAGAGCATATATATATATATATATCCCGGGCTTCCGTTTTCTAAACCCATGTAAACGGGTTGGACAAGAAGGACAATTATGCCAATTGAGTAATTTACATTCGGGCTTATGTTGTATTTGTATGTAGACACGATATGCTTCCAGTGTTTGTTAAACATATATCAATAAAGAAAATCATGATTCATTCTCTGAAAAGAATTAATGTGTATTCTAAAATTTTAAAATAATACAGTTTACTTACGTCAGATTTAAGACTGCAAAAGTATTTTAAAAACCTTCCTCGCAGTATCCATTGGCTGCATATTCACTTGCGGCAGAAAGTCTTCACAATATCCCTTGGGTTTGATGAGGACTTTTGAGGATTTAATTTGATATTGGCAGAGATGAAGAAAGAAACGGCGCTTAGGTTTTGAAGTGGGAGAAATGAGCATCTGAGCCGCTCAATGTTGGATTAGCTCAGCAATTGAGTATTATGTAACTTACTATCCTATGATAATTTCGACCCTATGAAGTTTAAAGAAAATAAAAAGTTTCTAAATATATCCCAAATAACTTTTAACTATTATTTATCTTCTTCAATTATCAAAACTTTTTTCTCCCTCCACTCCATTGTTGAATAAAATTCTAACTATAAAAACATTGATTGAGAAAAAAATTAACGAATCGAACACGATATCAATATTTCAGAAACTTCACATGAGGTAAAATTTCATATTTGTTTTTGTTTTAAGGGAAATTTAACAAAAAGCTCCCGGTACTGTTCACTTTAACGAAAAACCATATTTTTACACTATAGATTCAATCATAGTACTATTTATTTTACCTTTTATTTTGTCTTTATCGTTAAAACTCAAAGTTTTTAAACCATTTTCATTAGTTTTTTTTTGTTTTAATTATTCAACGACATTGTTAATTATTTAAGCCTGCTTTTGCTTTCCATACTACCCAATTTCATAGAAGGCCAACCCAAAAACGCCTTTTGCTCTTAGTCGTTCACTCTCTTCGACAGCACAGCGAGAAAACTCCATTTCCTCCTCCTTTATGTTCCTCCTCGACTCCAATTCGAACCAAAAAAAAAATCCCCAGCAAGTCCGCCGGCCTGCACACCCCATCCAACCCCAGAAATCATTTCTATTTTTTTGCGCATCCGGAGGGCTCCTCCTTATTTCTCCTTGCTCTTTGCTACCCCCAACCCTGCAATCGCTATGGTGGTATTAATTTTCCTTTTTAGATGGCTTTATCCGGTTTATTCTTTCATTTTCATGTATAATTAGTCACCAATGATTTTACTTTCTGTGTTCTGTTAATTTTTTGTCATGGGTTATTATTATTTTTTATTTACAAGGAAATGCTTGAGTTTGCAATTCAACCCTTAGATTTAAGTTGTAACAAGAAATGGTGCTCGTGCGATGCTATGAGTTTTAAAACCATATAAAATATGCAGGAGGGACTAAACTCCTACGATAAGCAACATTATTTACATACATATGAAAATCTATTTACAACCACATTTACAATGATATTTATTCAAAACCCTCTTGTGACATCCCGTCCCAAAATCTCGAAAACTCTCGTGTGAAATTACTATTTTGCCCTTAGTTCGTTCTTTTACGTTTATTGGTTGTTTTTGGTGTTGTGCTGGCATGACCTTGGGCCACACACACACCCCCATACCTGCACCACCTTCTGTCACTCTCTCTCTCTCTCTCTCCCGTGCTCCCTTTCCCCTTCCTTTTCACCATATACGTACGGACCACACCCAAAACCCCTCAAACCTTTGCAGATCGAGGGAACCAAGTACACCATCAAGCTCGTGAGGCTGTGAGGAGCACAGTCGTACCATTTTCAGGTAAGGTTGTAACTGTTTTCACGTCGATTCGACGATGGCAGTTTTGAGCACTATTCATGCAATATTAATCTAGCACATTTTTGGGATTTTGAAGCTCGTAGGTGTCTTAGTGGGGTTCCAAGGAGCCTCGGAGTGCTTCGTTGGTCGAATTTGGACGTCGGGAACGCCCTGTTCGAACTTGGCCGGTTTTGGAGCTTGGTGACAGGTGAAATTTAGTAGGTTTTAGCTCTTAAAAGTTGTTTGAACGTGTTCTACTAGTCTTAAGCTTTAATTTGGTGCAAGAATCGTGAAAAATGGTTGAAAAACGAAAGAGAAATCAAAGTTTGAAATTTTCCCGGTTTTCCGGCGCCGGCGACGACGCTGGTGTCTCGCCGGAGAAGGTGACGGAATATTCCTGACGCCGTTAACGGAATCTGTCAAAACTAACGGAATATTCCTAACGGCGTCAGTTGACGCCATCCGTGTGCACCGCACGTGCGGCGGTGGAAAATTTTTCTAAAAATATGGTTGTGATCCTGAGGTTGTGTAGAGCACGTTGGTATATTCAATTGTCCATTTTGAGCAATGTATGAGAAGTTATTTTGAACGGAAGGTTATGTGCTTTAAAATTAACGTTTCTATAGTATTTTCGCATATAGGTGATACGTATTCCGAGGACGAACGTGCTCACTCGAGGCAGGGGGGCTACGACCCTTCCACATACCTGTGAGTGGCCTTTTGTTTTCCATATATACCTATATACATATAATTCCCAGAAATTTATATAAATGCTTATTCGTTATATGTCATTCTTTTTATATTATTGGTGGTTATGCATGACTAGTTGCATATACGTTTATTTATATATTCAATTAGATTTATATATATGTATATAATGGTGCTGTGGAGGCACAGGTAAGTGCCAGGTAAGCGTTATTTAACAATTGCATTAAATAGGGGTTAGAGATGATTAGAGAGCTCATAACCTGCACCCCCGGTGTTAGTGCTCCCGCCCAGAGTAGGGCACAGTCCTTCACGTGTCGTTCACCTCCCGCACCACACGCTCAGCTTGGATCCAAGTTAGGTGCACAGTCTTGTCGTACAGACCACTTTAGGTGGTTCTGACTCGTAGGTGACCCGCGATTATTCGCACAGCCTTCACGTGATCGTAGCACTAGAGCGTTTATATGTATTACACCCAGGCCTGTCGTACAGACCACTGTAGGTGGTTCCGACTCGTGGGCAGGTTTAGTGATTGAGATTGAGATTTGAGCTCTAGATTCAGCCGTAGAGGTCACTTAGGGGACTCCGGCTGCCAGTGATGTGTTATTGATACGATTTATACCTGAGCACTTACATTTCAGCATGAGATTTGGTATGGCATATCTTTGAGCATGATTGGCATATTTATTGTATACGTACATATGTTTATTTTTCTGGGAATTATACAGGTTTTACGGCGAGGGGTTAGAATGTATTTTACTAAATGGTTTTCAAAGAGCTTTGTTTTTGCCCACTCACGCTTTTGTTTTGCGCCCCTCCAGGTTCTAGTTGCTTAGCAGGTTCGGTGGTTTCCCCAGAAGGCTTCCAGGCATTTCTGACAGACACTCACCAATGTAGGGTCACCTTCGGGTGTACTGTTGTCACATCATTTTAATTTGGACTGCTGTAGACTTATTGCTCTGAACTTAGCGTCTCACTTACGCTAGCACACTTACTTTGACCTTGTATGCTAGTTTTTAATTACTCGTACTTTTATATTGTTACT